TTTGATTCGGAAATATTATGACAACATCGTCCGTAATTTTACAAGATGTTGCTTCGGATCGGAAAAGTTCTCCCAGCAATTACTGAACCGTCTGCGTCATGACTGCATGGTTGCAACGGCTACGACTGCTTATGGCATGCGAAGACGGGGCGGTTACGAAGTTGTCGATCATCGCAAAGCCAGGACGTTGTCCCGTTATTCATCTACAACTTGGAAAACCATACCAATGCCTGCCATTTTTTTGTCAGACGCGTTAACGGATCCATAATTGCACTAGATAGCCAGAATAGTTTTTAAACATCTGCCAACATACTTCCAGAACACATTTAAGGGTTTCGTTTCATCCGAATACATCGATCACGTTCTTCTATCTGTTCTAATTTTGCAAACGTGGTTATTCCTTGAGCAACCGTGTTCTCGGTTTCCTCTGTCTAAAACTTTAAGCATTTACATAAAATATTATTAAATTAGGCAAGAGAAACTATTCCTCTAATTATAGAGACGCAGCAAAGCTGTAGGTTTCACAGAACTTTCATAAATCACAGCGTTAAATTTTACACGAAACATCCTATTTAATGTTTAGACTCAGTTTTCGTTGCTGTATATAGCAGTCATCCATCAAATGAGATCGAACAGAAGGAACTTGAGGTACAGGAAGTCGATTAAACAAAGCAATTCTAACATGCGGCATCGACTATCGCTGCAGTGGACGATCTTTCGGTTTGGATGCACTGAGTTATGTTCGTTAATTGGGCTAGTTCTTCATATAACGTAAGAAAAAAGCCGAGGCGCACTGGTGAGGTGTGGGACGACGACTTCGAACGCCGTGTACATTACGTTTGAGTCCCGAAAAAGAAAGCATTACTCTTAACTACTAATTCCTTGATCAACGAATTCGTTCCATTCGCTGACCCCAGCCGAAAATTTTTTAGTAAGTCGCTGACTTGCGAACAGAGGCTCAGCATGGTGTTCTGATGACGTCAAACCAGAATGTAAGAGAGGTACAGCCAGCCTGTGGGAGCACCTCTGAGGGTTGCAGTTAGCGAACGTTGATCGCCTATCCAGCGTGTTAATTAGCGCTAGGTGTCAATCAGCGTCGTTGCTAATAAGCAACTCTTTCTGTGTACACTGATGCTTAATAGAAATGTGAAATCTGATTGAAAACAACCCATTTCGAGTGCAGTATAATCAAAGGGAATGCGTTCCATGGCCGAAACTATGAAAGGCAGAGAAGGAAGCTATTATTTACACCAGGACATAAGATATTCCATTATCCTAGCTGGAAATTTTTGAATCTCTTGTTATTATTTGATCCGGATTGTGTGCAACGGCAACTCCGCCATGGCCGGTCCCAAGCCCGGATGAGAAAGGAGGAGGGTTGGAGACCGTGGCAAG